AGGCTCTATAAGCGTTACGGCTGATCTTTTCTATTTTCATAATCAAAGTTTCTGCTAGGCGAGCAGGCTTTGCAGGCGTGTCCTTGGCGTGTCCTTGGAAAGTATACATCACTTCGAAAATCGTTAGCGACATTGTAATCGGTATTTTCATTTTGGCTAACGGAAGAAGGCTTAGCGCAGATACTATACAGTTATGCAGACAAACAGATGAATAGAACTGGCGGAGATATTTACATTAATTTCAAATTTGAAACTAGCCAAGACTTCATATATTTTATACGGTTTCAGAAGCTTATTTCTGCGCGTTATAAAAGTATTAAAAAAAAAATTAAATTTTGATATACCGTAATGTATGGTAGCCACGGTCAATTTTTCCCATTTTTATAAAGATGCCACAGCATTGCGAATAGAACATGTGTTCAGATTTGTATATATTTATCTGATATAGTTTATGAGTACCGATAAAAAACCAAATTTGTTATTTCTTCTGGAAAACGGAAGTGTTCTCAGTTTAGGTGGTGCCCTTCGATCGATTTAGGCCATTTTTAATACCAACCTGCGCACAAGAACTTCCGATGTAACCAGTTTGGCCGTTTGGACCATTGACAACCTTAAAACCGTAAACCGCTCTCACTTTCTCAGCGAAATTCCGGATCGAAAGTATATAAAAAGTGATTAAACAGTCTTAAACAGTCTTAAACAGTTGTAAACAGTTGCAAAGCCTTTGAAAAAATAGCGAAACTGTGAGCATTTTTGTTTTCCGTGTTTTTTGCTTGTTACTGTCTTAGGGGTGTGAAGTTATATTTAAAATCAAACTTAAAGTCTCTCAGAGTTTGTAAAAATCAAACCCAAAGTCTCTCAGAATTTGTGAAAAGTGAATTCAAAGTCTCTCAGAATTTGTAAAAATCAAACGGCAGGTCTCTAATGATGAACATAAACCACCCAGAATGTGTATAATAAAAAATACATAACAGTATGTATTTGCTGACAACCTGTTGGATTGAAAGAGTGAGTCTGACTTTGGTTGCAATTGAGAAGGATTCAAAGAGCGAGTCTGAATTTGGTGACAACCTGCGCAAGAAGCGGAAGGAGCAGACGAAGCGATTACTGAACCGGAGACTTGTCAACACAATCCGGTGTTGGAGATTGCATTTCGGCAATTAATATTCTTCCAAGTTTTCTTTTCGAAGTTTTTGCTTTCATTGCGTTCATCTGTCATAATACAAGGTTTTTGAATGTAATTTTTGATAATAATCGAATGAAATTGAATAACTAAGAAAATAATTGACGAACTGAGAAAATATTTAGCGTGGTCTATGTATTTTTTATTCAAATTATACTATTGCGGGACGTGGACTCTTTAAGTTCTAAATCAAAACTAATATCGTTATTGTTTATTTTCATTTCTAACACGCACAATGTTTAATTTTATATAAAAGTGAAATTCTCAATGTGAAATGTTTACGAACTCTAGACAACATTGTGTGTAATTTTAAATATAAGCGAGATGTCTTTTGATTATTAAACAAAAAGGACCACAGAATAAAACTTGATGCTGAAACGTGGGGATTAATACCTCGCTTTGGAATTTTTTTATCAATATTCCTATGCTGGAATACTATATTACAAAAGTAAATCTCGTTCTTTTATTACAACCATTTTTTACCAAAATGTGTGGAATTAAATAAGACTGATGTTCAATTGGCTGATATGTCCATATCCATCGATTCTGATATTGAGATTGATTTGTTAAGATTACGTTTTGGATATTAGGATATTAAGATTCATAAGCTACATTTGAGAATGATAAAAAATAAATGTATAAAAATGTGTAAAATTCAAGTTGTTAATGAGATTCACAAACCAGTCAGAAAAAATGTTGTTCAAAGGCGACTCATTTAAAAAGGAAGTAATGATACATGGTAAATCGATTTAGTTGAGTTAATTCCATTTCATAAGCTAAGCAATGGCTATAAATATCTTTTGGTTGGAATTGATGTATTTTCTAAATATGCTTTCGCGGAACTAATAAAATTTAAAAGTTCTTCAGACATAGTTAAAGCTATGAAACAGGTATTGGAAAGAAGAAATACATCTCCAAGAAATATTCAGACTGATAAGGGAAAGAAATTTTTCAAGAAGGATATTAAAAGTTTGAGAAGTATTATTAAATTAATCCTTATCACACATACACTCATATGAAAGAAGAGTTCCTGTGGTCTCCAATGGAAAAATTAAGAAAATTAGTTAACATTAAAAGTCGATATACACAATATAAAACAATTTGGTTCACTCATTAAGAATATTTTATTAAATTTGGTCTAATATAGTTTTAAATTTTTTGGCCGATTTTTTTTTCAAATTGTTGAGGCTTTCTGCACGAACTTATATACAATCCTTCTGTGACGAATAAATTAAAAGAAGCGGTTATTGAAAAAGAAAGACTTTTCTTCGCTTCGTACTGTATGTTTTCAATATATATAAGGGCAATGCTTTTGAAACTGTGAATAATTTCATTAAAATTGCATTTGTACTATGTATTCTTCTTAGAGTGTGAGAAAAACATCAATGCATCTGTCAGTTGTATAAATTGGTTGAAAGTCAAAGTAAAATTGGAGAAGAAATATTTTACTCCAGCAACTTTCACTTCAGGTGTAATTAGCTTGCGAAAAAACTAATAAGAAACAGCTGTTACATCATAAAAAGAATAAACAAACGAGAATCTAGATTAAAATATAAATTTTTTAAATGAAAAAAGACAGAAAAGGCCAAACAAAATAAATTGTGTAAATAAATGTCTCTATTATTCAAAATGCTATTTCGCTTACTCGGTGGCGAGGCATAGATTTAACTTCCTCAACCACCATTATTACTGCAGATACCTTCAGTTCTCTAAATCCTCTTTGTTTGCTAATCCGAAATACTTTTTTAAATTTGTTAACTCTAAAAGAAAAATTTTCACATATCCCTCTTATGTTTCTTTTAATGGCTCTGGTTCCTCGGATGATTTTGAAATCTCAAATTTGTTTGCTAAGCATTTCCGACGAAACTTTTCGATTGATAATTTCGATTTATCAGCAAACTACGTATATCCTATAACTAACTCTGTCTCAATTCCCAACTTGGTAATTTCGGAAGATGACGTTTTTAAAGGGTTGAGTTCTCTAAAATATAGTTATGCGCCAGGACCTGATGGAATTCCATCATGTGTACTTAAATCTTGCGCTGTCGAGTTATGTGGTGTGATCTCAAAGATATTTAACCTGTCCTTGAATTTAGGTGTTTTCCCTTCGTGTTGGAAGAGTAGTTTCCTTATTCCTACCCATAAAAGTGGAAGGAGACAACTTGTTGAGAACTACATAGCAGCATAGCCAAGTTGAGTGTCTTGCCTAAGTTGTTCGAGGGAATTGTGACTCAGCATTTGGCCTTTGCCGTTAATTCGTATATTACCCCACACCAGTATGGCTTCGGAAAGGGAGATCTACGGTCACTAATTTGTTAGAGTTTACTTTTCTAGTGGCTCTCGCACAGATGTAATATACACTGATTTAAGCAAAGCGTTTGATTTGGTTAACCATAACTAACTTATTTTTAAACTCCAAGCCTCTGGCTTCCCTTTCTATTTAGAGAAATGGATAAGCTTTTACCTGCACAATAGATCTTTCAGGGTTCTGTTTAACTTCGTCACCTCGGATCAATTCCCCGTGACGTCTGGCGCACCTCAAGGCAGCCAATAAGGTCCTATTTTATTTAGTTTATACATTAATGATCTCCCATCGGTGATTAATTCCAGTCAGATCTTAATGTATGCTAATAATGTGAAACTGTTTTGTTCCTTCTCTCTAGAATCGCAATCACATCAGCTTCAAAGTAACTTGAATAATTTTGTTGCATGGTGCTCTTCAAAATCTTCTGAAACTAAATCTAAATAAATGTAAGAAGATTTCTTTTTCAAGAAGAAAATCATTCATTATTCAGTATTTCATTGATTCGCATAAGTTGGAGGACGTCGATACGTTCACAGATTTAGGCGTTCTATTTGACCATAGATTACGTTTCAATTTGCATATTGAGCTCTCGTTAAGCAAAACTAGGTTCGCGCTTGGTTTTATAGAGAGGTGATGATCCCTACATAACGAAAAGGCTGTACATGTGTTTGGTTAGACTTATAGTTGAGTATGTCTCTGTTGTGTGGTTTCCTTCATATAGGTGCTATATGGATTGAACTGAATCTGTTCAAAACCAATTCTTCCTGTTTGCCCTTAGGAATTTGGGTTGGGATCCGATTGCTTCTCTTCCCCCCTATGAAAATTGGTTGCTTCTGTTCTCCTTCCCGTCTCTTTAGAAACGTAGGTTTGTTCTTGGCGTTTGCAAGAATTTAAATTACGCCTATCACTTATTCTCGTTATCGGACTCTTTAAAGTCCATTAAAGCAACATTGCTCAATACGCGCGATTTACCTATGTCTTACTTAAACTAGCTTTTATTCTTAAAAAGTCGGTACGATTCGAAAATGAATTGTTTTTAAGTATTATCGGTTGCCAGGCTTTTGCATGTTTGCGATGGCTTAGGGGTTCATTTGCAATTTAGTCCTATACCGGTGTAAGTGTGGCTCTATGCTGATTGTGTACATGCTTTTTTTCTTTTTTTTTTCCTTCTTATTTGTTTTATTGTACTTATACTAAGTTTTATTATTAATTTAATATAAGTTTTGCTTTAAGTGCCAATTGAACTCGACTGTTATTTGTTTAGTTGAGTTTCATGTATAAGTAAAATTAAAATAAATAAATAAACAATATGAGCAACCCTTATTGCTGAAATGACCATACAAATCGGTCAATTAGCTTTGGTTACTGAACGCAAAGAATTGTATGCAAAAATCGGTGGCGGCTTAGTGAAAGCTCAGGAGTTACTTGAGCATAATAGTGCTTATGAAATCTCTTGTCTCTCCGTGGGAGATTCATCGCCACGTCTTGCTAAATATAATCGGTTTATTTTCAATTTATCAACAACCATTTGGCTGCGTCTCGGTTCATTTTCAATTTATAAGCACAACCATTTGGTTGCATGCAGGTTTATTTTCAATTTATAAACAACCATTAGACTTGAATCTCACAATTCATTGCTCTGGCTTAATTAATATTAGTAATGATAACAATAATTAAATAAAGAGTTTATAATAAATAATAGTCGATTCATATAGAAATATCTTTTTGTTGGCAACGAGAATGAGATTGTGAGTATTTATTTTGATTCTCCGTAATCTATAGTGCAGTTGACTAAGCAAACAATTAAATAGTTAATATATATATATATATATATATATGTATATATAAATAAATAAACATATATAAAAAAATATTTTATTGTTTATTCAATGCCAAAACTTTCTAACATTAGCTAGTAATCACTCATTATGTGCACAGAACATCACTTTCAAAATCAGAAGAACACTAAGATCGCGCTAACAAACGGTTACACGTAGGAATATATATGACAAAAAAGGTAAACTGCAGCAACAACAATACGCAGAAACAGTCAAGTTTTTCAGACGCTTTCATTTAAAATTCCATTTTTTACTTCTAGAAATGACGACGAACAGATTATAATAATCATTAAAAGACCTGGCGACCCAAAGTTTATGATTCAGCTCATAGTTGACACGACCTGGCGGCAACCTTATACTGGTTACTCTTAAAGGTTAAATGATGTGTAAGGTTAACACGACTCTCATAATTTCATTTCAAGCTACTTTAAAAGAGGTTTGAAAAAAAATGTTTGCGTAGACTCAATCTGATCAACTTGGGGACTACACCGCAATAGCATTCTCTTATGCAGGCCTAACAAGTGCGGTAAACAAGCTTGTGCTTCGTCAAATTCATACGACCAACCAATTAATCGGTTTATGAACGCCGGTTTAAATTTATTTAAAAAAATTTTATATTTATATATTTTATTTATAAAACTCAATTTCGAATCGAATATAAACCCCAAATCAAGTGGAGTCCAACTTATACGTATCCATATGATAGTCAAGAACAGGAACCGTGGTATCGCAATGCAGATGGTTCAGCGTTGCAAAGCAGAACGCAAGCTTGAACCAGTGAAACCTCCCCGTGGAAAGTATGGAAAAGATGAGGTAATACACGATAAAAAATTGAAAATTTCTTTTTTTCAGATTTTCGGGTAAACATCTTGCCGTTTAATCCGCTGTTCTTTGACTAAACTTTAATGAAGTTGGCTGTTAGCCAAATAACATGATGCGCCAGTCAGGTATTTAATGCGCGCTATTTTAAAATAAAAATTCGCTCCTATCTTTATAGAATATTATTTATTCGTTATTTGAAACTATATTCATACATTGTTTGATTTCATTTATGATTACACAGATTGACTTTTTTTTCAAGCGCAATAAAACCTCAAATTTCAAATAAACAGAATACTCTAAAAAGGGATATATGGCATCTCTTTGAAAATGAGTTTTTTTATAATGCCCTTTAGAACCCCTTATGGGCTATATTTAGGCGGGCACATTTCCGTATAATTTAAATACGTAAAACGCAGTAAATAATAAATAGCACTAAAAGTGTAAAAATTTGAATGTTGAGTTAAATTTTGCAAACTTGATGTACTTGAGCTCGTTGCCGTAATAAATTACAGCTTAATTTCTCGAAGACTAGTAAAAAGTTGTTGAATAAATAAAGCACAGTAAATAGCAGTGAATTTCACTGCAAAGTTCACCTTGAAAATGAGAACAGGCAGCCTTTATTATATATTATCCTCGTCTGGAATCCCTTATGGGCGCACATGCCAACATTGATACGGTTGCTGTCGCTGCTTTTGCTGTTGACGATGTTCATTTTA